AAACATAATTTTAAAATATTTAGTTTGAGTTTGAGGATACTAGTAACATGAAAAAATAAAATCAAGCAAATATTTATGGAACAAACAGTGGTGTTTATTTTTTTAATATACATTAGCAATATGATGCACGGTATTTTTATAAAAATAATTTTTAATTAAAAATATATTATTTTTGTATATTAGCGTGTTAGAATTATTAAAAATATCTAAAAAGTAAATTGTTATTTTTTAAATCAAAATTTAAATTAAAAAAGGCAAGCTTTACGTAGTGAACACCACTCCTTTAAAATCAAAGCTTGCCTAGCGAACACCACTCCTTTAAAATCAAAGCAAATTTGAAGCGTTTCACACCTTGGGAGAGGCTACAACCTGTCATGGGACACGCTATAGGACGTCTTTTACTTTGGTCGGTCGTCCCTGTCCTTCGCTGGTCCAATTCCCTCTGTGTCAAAATGAAAGCCACGTTGTCAACAGTGAAGACTGGCTGAGCTGTTCATGGCCTTCCTCCCTTCAAAATCAGAAAACACTGTCCATGTTTTTTAATTAAAAACATATTAAAATATTTGACCGCCTCGGTCAAATTTTTTTAAAAATAGAGTTTTTTTTATTATTTTAAAAAATAATAAGTCTGGACCCACCTTCTGAACTATGACTCAGAGTCTCGCGTCTGGTTTTGACAGTGAGAACCAAACGAAGTCAACAGACGTAAGTTACTTGCTAACTCCAGACCACTGTTTGGTTGATGACGAGGATGCAACCCGCCGGTCATTGATTTCAAAGAAAAAGCCACAGCAAACGCAATTAGCATTCTAGCCTCGTATCTTATTTGAAATGTTTCTGTGATTATTTTTTAAATATTTTTTATATTAAAATATTTTTTAATTTTAAAAAATTATTTTTAATATTAAAATATTAAAATGATTTAAAAACATTAAAAACATATTAATTTAAAATAAATAAATAAATTTAAATTTTTTTTAAAAGTATTTTTGAAACCCCGAAAATAGTAAAACTTATTTCAAAATATTTCTTGCAAAAATCACATCACAGCCACCATGCTTTCTTTTTTTATTATTGTTATTAAAAAACACCATTATTTAATTTTTTTACATCTTAATATTTTGTACAAACACCGTGGGACTGAGAGAATATATCTATAAGAAATATTTTTTTATAGTTTTTTTAAATTCAAACCAAAATTGATAACGTGAAGGGTCAACCTATCAATCCAAGTCTCAGAAATACTCGCCAATTAAAAATGAAAAATAGACTTGAATGTGAAGTTTCAGGGGCGGCGCCAGAAGACTTAATTAGAGGGGTTAAATTAAAAAAAGGTTTCTCAGGGAATCAAGATTTAAATTTCTCTTGACTTCAGAGCTAAGACTATAAATCATCTGGGGCCGAAAAGAAAATTCTTGCAAGTGCCGGGGCCGCTGCCTGCCCCTGCCCCTGCCACCGCCCCTGCCACCAGAGAGCTTTAACTTTTCTTCTTCTTCTTGACCTTTATATATATATATATTGGTGTGCTTAAACATTTTTTTTAAACGAATAAGTATGATTATGCAAAGATATTTTATATACTTAAGATAATTAATTTTGATCAGGAGTCCAATTATACGTACGAGAGAAGTTTCTAGTAGGGGACAAATTGCGGAGCAATCCTGTACAGGTCCAGTGACGGGGCTCAACTTTGATGTGATTGCTCCCATTACACTACTGTGAAATAAAATATATAATAAAAATCATTATCTCAAGCCAGCATCACTACCATGTAAACCGTCTAAAATCCCGTTTATAAAATTTTTTTTTTTTATTATTACGTAAACTTGGCTCGCTCCTCTATCGCTGTAAAATGCATGTTATGAGTTGCAATGAATTATTATTTATAATGATTTATAATTATAATTTTTTAATTAATTTAATATTAAAAAATAAAATTTTAAAAAATCATAAAAAAATTATATAAAAAGATATTATAGTGATCTATAGTGTTACGTAAAAAAACTTTAATAAAATTAAATTTTAATCAGTTTAATATTAAAAAAATAATATCAATATAAATAATTTAAAAAAAAAAATATTAAAAAGATCACAAAAAAAACTAAAAAAATTATGCAAGGAAAAACTGTATTAATCCTTGGTGTTTTATGAGAAAAGTTACACTGTTTTTCCTATATAATTTAATCTTGCTTGTAATTTTAATTCTTAACCAGCTTAATATTAAAAAAATAAGATTTAAAAAAATAATTTAAAAAAATATAAAAAATAATATAAGAAAAAATATTATAGCAATCTATAGTAATTTATGAAAAAAACTAAAATGTTATCCTCACATGTTGTAATTGTCATTATTAATCAATTCAATATTAAAAAATAAAATAAAATAATAATTTTAAAAAATATAAAAAACAAAAAAACACATGAAAAAACACTATAACAATAACAATATTTTAAAAAAAATATAAAAATAAATTCTTAATAGTAAAAAAAAAATACTAAATTCATTTTGAGCAGATACTAAATTCTCCATCCAATTTAGCTTATTACTTAATTCTCCATCATTCGGTACTTGGTAATGAGAAGATTTCAATAAAAAACAATAATTTATATCCAATGAGAATTCTCCACAACAAACATCGTATGATATTGGAATATATAATATAAAATCTTTTATTATTTTTACAGAATGGAAAAAAAGTGATAAATCTACTTAATCAATTGTCACTTAATGTGTTCTTATACAGATTTAAACAATCAATACGCAAAAAAATGCGATTAGTAGAATTAAAACTCATAGTGATTAAAAACAACTAAAAAATAATCCTCTAAAAAAATAAATAATAATATATTTTCACCTGAGCAAATATATTTTTATCATATTCTTATCAAATAATTCATTTTCATTAATGGAATTTCTCCTTGTTATATTTTTTTAATGTCCTGCATTACTTTTTTTCCAACCTTTTTTGGTAAATAATTAGATGCTTTGATTAATTAACAATAATTGTACAGTGATCATAGTGGATCAAGGCAATTAATTAGATGCTTTGATTGCCATCTTGGAATTATCTTAAATTCCAATCATGCCAAGATATAATTGCTGGTTCATGCGGCATGCGAGATGCTGCTTTTCTTTCCCTGGCAGTGCTGCCGGTGCGCTGTCGTTTCATGCAATGCCGGAGAGCTAGGGAGCATGATTGCTGGATCTCCCGAGAAATTTGTGATCCTATCTTGATTGGGTTTAGATTTTTAGTTGAATGGAAAAAATATTTACTTGATAAATACTAATTGATATAGTTAGAATTTTAATAATTTATTTGATTTGATTTAAACTTGGTAGAGTTAAGGAAAAACACAAAAAAATATTATTATTTTAATAAAAAAATAATCAATTAAAATTGTTCTAATACCCTGTAAATTCTTCTGATGATCTAGTAATTTCGAGTTAGTTTAAACTTGCAATTACAATATTAAATGAACATGAAGTTATAATTTTAAAAGTTTTTAATTAAATTATATTTAATATTATGATTTTCTCATAGAATTATTTCACTTAAAACTTAAGTTATTAGGTGAGATTTCAAGATATGATTTATATTATTCTTTAATATATTCCCTCAAGTGAAAGGTTTTTAGATTTGAAACTTGCACAGACCCATATTACTTTATACTTAATTTTTATCAAATAAATAAAAATAGTAAAATTCAAGCTCGTGAATTATCAAAGTTTTGCTATTATGTCAAAAAACCATCTCACATAAAACTTTAAACTACTAGGTGAGACTCCAAGATATAATTTATATTATTTTCTAACATATTCAAGATGTTTTTTAAAATATTTTTTTATAAAATATATTAAAATATTTTTTTTATTTTTAACATGAAAATAATAAAATAATACTAAAAATATTAAATTATTTCCTTAATTTTTTTTTTAAAACCTAGAAAAGTGCGATCCAGCAGCACTTTGTAAACAAAGAGTCCGTGTATAAAATCACGTCCACGGTCACACAGCAAGCACAAAAAGTTAGGTCACCATTTTTATCTTTATTTTCATGACTGCAGCAAAGAAACTTGAGATGAGTGGGTAGCTGATTGTATTCAACACAAGAAACAAAAAATGTTTATTTACAATTTTACTAGCTGGGTCCCACTGACAATGCCAGTTTGTCTGATGAACACTTGTGACATCAATGACGCATGATCTTGTCTCTCCATACATTGTGAACTGGTGTCCTTCGTATACCATGCAACAACACACTCACTCTTGTTTGATGATGTATATAGCTCGAGTATGATCACAAATGTTTATTTATTTATTTTTTTTAATTTTAATATACAAGCATTAAAACCATTTAAAAACATATAATGATTTATTTATTTTCTTTTATAGAAGCACTTGATGCGTGCTTTTTATTTATACTATATACTAGTAAATAAATAGAGGATGTCCAATGCAGAGAGCATGAGAAATTAAAAATCAATGACCTCAAAAGCTTACCATCATGGGCATCACACTCAAACACTCTCACTTGAAATCCAACGTCATCTTCCACTGTAAAGCATAAACAAACAATTCTATCTCCAATCTAAAATAATATAATTTATTTTCAACCCATTCTTAACTGGATCCCCATCAAGATCTTATCACATACTTTGATCCATATTGTGCCTCACAAATATGCTGTGGCAATTGATATTCTTATTCTCACACTCCCTGGCTGGCTGGCTGGCTATCTCTTTGTTTTTTTTTTTTTTTTGTATATATATATATATATATATATATATATGTGATATGGGAACTCAAGCGAGGTGATAGCATAAGCTAAAATCCTGAAAACATTGTTAATTATCAAGGAAAAAGGTAGAACCTTTAGCCTCGGGTCCAAAGGAACACCTCCCATTTCTGCCACCACGAGTCACTCACAGCACATTGAAACATCCAACACGGCAAGTGCTATATTGTTACTACCAGCACCGTCCAAGGTTAGCAGCAAACTTCAATTATAGATATATGTAAAAACCAAGAGATAGAAACATTAGTCAATACATTTATTTCCTATCGTTATAAAAGATAAGAGAGAGAGGGAGATCAAAAAGTTGCAGTCTTTCTACTTCTCTCCTTTTCTCTCTCTCCATCTTTTGCATTTGGAAGTCAAGTCCTTTTTGCTTGCTACTCGTTGTTTCTTTATATGTGTGCGCGTGTGGTGTAGGAGGAGGAGAAGGAAAAGAGATATTTTTTTTTGGGTGTTTAAGGTGATACGAAGAGGTTCCTATCAATCACAGGCTGGTTTTGCCTCGACAATCGCCACCGGCTTACCCTGGACGATTTTCGAGGTCAGTAACTTTGGTGTTTTACGTTTCAGATTTCGAGATTTTGCCGTCCATCTCTCTTTGTCTCCTTCTGTTTCTTTAGAAAGAGAGAGTCTGTAGGTAGAAGGATCAAAGCAAAGGCGAAAGGAGGGTTCTTTATAATCTTTCTCTTTCTGTATTCGTGTCCGTTGTTGATGAAAACCTGTTTGTTTCTTTGTGCAATGTGTCTGCAGATTCTATTTCCAATATAGCGACACCTTTCTGTCCAAAACCCAGATGGTGAAATGCCCCTCTTCTTTATACGATTTGATCTTTTCTCCTCTTCATCAAATTGCTGCTGCCTTTCATTGACGACCACAACGAGGGCTTACTTTCTTCAATCACTACCTCTTGTTTCCAATAATGGGTATCATTTTCTTGCTTAATAATATCAGCTCAGAATCAACCAACCCTGTTTTGAAGGCAATTCAAGGCCTGCCCACGTTGGAACTCGCCTCCATTTGTGTGAATTTGACACTTTTTATCGTGTATCTCTTCCTTATCTCTGCAAGGCAGATATTTGTCTGTGCTGGCAGAGTTAGAATCCTTAAGGATGATTCTACAGTTCCCAATCCGACTCCAATTCGAAGGTCTATTGTAGACGGAGAGATTCGTGATGTTATAATCGGTACGGGTTTTAAGTTGTGTCTGTTTTGTTGTTTCTATGTTTTGCTCTTGCAATTCTTGGTGCTGGGGTTTGATGGAGTTGCTCTGATTAGAGAGGCTGTTAAGGGGAAAGATGTGGATTTGTCTGAGATTTGTGTACCTGCTGCACAAGGTTTGGCTTGGTTTGTCTTGAGCTTTTCAGCTCTTCAATGTAAATTTAAGCTGTCTGAGAAATTTCCTGTCTTGTTGAGGGTGTGGTGGTTTTTCTCATTTTTGATTTGTTTGTGTACTTTGTATGTTGACGGGAGCAGTTTTTTTACTGAAGGATCAAAGCATTTGAGTTCTCATGTTGTGGCGAATTTTGCTGCAACCCCAGCTCTTGCTTTTCTATGTTTTGTTGCATTTAGTGGTGTTACTGGTATACAAGTTTGTAGGAACTCTGATCTTCAGGAGCCATTGCTTCTTGAAGAAGAGGCAGGGTGTCTTAAGGTCACTCCTTATAGCGATGCTGGGCTATTCAGCTTAGTAACCCTTTCTTGGTTAAACCCCCTTCTTTCTATTGGCGCAAAGAGACCGCTAGAGCTTAAGGACATTCCTCTTCTTGCACCGAAAGATCGTGCCAAGACAAACTATAAGATTTTGAATTCAAATTGGGAAAGAAGAAAAGCTGAAAATCCTTCCAAGCAACCGTCTTTAGCTTGGGCAATTCTGAAGTCATTCTGGAAGGAAGCAGCTTGCAATGCCATCTTTGCCTTGTTGAACACATTTGTTTCATACGTTGGTCCGTACATGATTAGCTATTTTGTTGATTATCTGGGGGGTAACGAGACTTTCCCTCACGAGGGCTATATTCTTGCTGGGATATTCTTCTCAGCCAAGCTTGTGGAGACGTTAACGACCCGGCAATGGTATCTTGGGGTTGACATCTTGGGTATGCAAGTGAGGTCAGCTTTAACAGCAATGGTGTACCGAAAGGGACTGAAGTTGTCGAGCTTGGCCAAGCAAAATCACACCAGTGGAGAGGTTGTTAACTACATGGCAATTGATGTCCAAAGAGTAGGGGATTACTCTTGGTATCTCCATGATATATGGATGCTTCCCCTGCAAATAGTTCTCGCTCTTGCAATTTTGTATAAGAATGTTGGAATTGCTTCCTTTGCAACTTTGATTGCCACCATTATCTCCATTGTTATCACAATCCCCGTGGCTAGGATACAAGAAGATTATCAAGACAAATTGATGGCTGCCAAGGATGAAAGGATGAGGAAAACATCAGAGTGCCTCAGGAACATGAGGATTCTGAAGTTGCAGGCTTGGGAGGACAGGTATAGAGTAAAATTGGAGGAGATGCGAGGTGTGGAGTTCCGGTGGCTTCGGAGAGCCCTCTATTCACAAGCTTTTATTACCTTCATTTTCTGGAGCTCTCCCATATTTGTCTCAGCTGTCACTTTTGGTACTTCTATATTGTTAGGTGATCAGCTCACAGCGGGAGGTGTTCTTTCTGCTTTGGCCACCTTCAGAATACTACAAGAGCCACTGAGGAATTTCCCTGACTTGGTGTCGATGATGGCCCAGACTAAAGTTTCTCTTGATAGAATTTCCGGATTCCTGCAGGAGGAAGAGTTGCAGGAAGATGCAACCATTGTTCTGCCTCGAAGCATTACAAACCTGGCCATAGAAATTAAAGATGCTGTATTTTGCTGGGATCCTTCTTCTTCTTCAAGGCCCACACTATCAGGGATACAAATGAAAGTCGAGAGGGGGATGCGGGTAGCTGTTTGTGGCGTGGTTGGTTCTGGTAAATCAAGCTTTCTCTCCTGCATCCTTGGCGAGATTCCCAAAATCTCTGGCGAAGTAAGTTAGATTCATGGACCTATTTTCTTAATTTCATAGCTTAAATGATATTTCCGGTTAAATGTGATTTCTTCTTTCTGGAATCTATTATGCATTGAAGATTCATTCCTGTTCTCCCTTTTCATTTTCCAGGTGAGAATTTGTGGCACCGCTGCTTATGTCTCACAGTCAGCATGGATACAATCTGGAAATATTGAAGAAAATATTATATTCGGAAGTCCAATGGATAAAGCAAAGTATAAAAACGTAATCAATGCCTGTTCTCTGAAAAAGGATTTGGAACTCTTCTCACATGGTGATCAGACAATTATTGGTGATAGAGGTATAAACTTGAGCGGTGGCCAGAAGCAGCGGGTTCAACTAGCAAGAGCATTATATCAAGATGCAGACATTTATTTGCTTGATGATCCCTTCAGTGCTGTTGATGCGCATACTGGTTCAGAGTTGTTCAAGGTTGGACTTTTCCTGTGTAAAATCAATGTTGCTTTTCAAATGAATGCAGTTTGCCTAAATGTGTTGTGAACTGCAGGAATACATATTGACAGCATTAGCAAGTAAGACTGTGGTTTTTGTAACCCATCAGGTTGAATTTCTGCCCGCCGCCGATTTAATTCTGGTATGGAGTTGTTTTAATATCTCACCTCTATGTAATGCTTGTGTAATTAAAGAACTGATTTGGTATCTATGGTTTATGTTTTGCATCTCATAGAGTTGCATGTTTCCCTGTTAGCTTGATTTAAATACCAGGTTGTGTTTAATTTGAGACTAGGATAGTCATTCTAACATTCGTGCATAGCCATCTCACCTTTTTTTAACTCAACCAATTTTCTGGTAGCATCATAGGTTCTTAGCATGTACAACTGGGCATCGTCACTTCGTAGAATATTAGCACATGTTTGACTAAAAATGTTGTAACACATTTCAACAAAAGTATCAGATCATGTTTGTGCTTGCTTCATTTTGTAAGACCCTCACTTCACATTTTTTTTGGGGGAAGGGGGGCTTTACAAAAGGTAAATCAGAGATCATGTAATTGATGCTTTGATGCTTCTCTTTCTCCTTCTTTATTCCATAAAAAAATATTCTCTGATATCCATCTTCATCGCACCAGGTTCTCAAGGAAGGCCGCATAATACAGGCGGGGAAATATGATGAACTTTTGCAAGCAGGAACTGACTTTAACACCTTAGTCTCAGCTCACAATGAAGCAATTGGGGCTATGGATATTCTAAATCACTCATCAGATGAATCAGATGAAAATTTGTTGTTGGATGGATCTGCCACACTACATAAAAAATGCAATGCGGCAGAATGTAGTATCGAATGCTTAGCAAAGGAAGTGCAAGAGAGTGCATCAGCTTCAGATCAGAAAGCAATCAAAGAGAAAAAGAAAGGAAAACGTTCAAGGAAAAAGCAGCTTGTTCAGGAAGAGGAAAGAGTAAGAGGAAGAGTCAGCATGAAGGTTTACTTGTCCTATATGGCTGCAGCATATAAAGGCTTATTGATTCCACTCATAATCCTTGCACAAGCTTTATTTCAGTTTCTTCAAATAGCTAGTAATTGGTGGATGGCCTGGGCAAATCCCCAAATGGAAGGAGGCCAGCCTAGAGTGAGCCCTATGGTCCTTCTTGGTGTTTATATGGCCCTTGCTTTTGGGAGCTCGTGGTTTATATTTGTCAGGGCTGTTCTGGTTGCTACATTTGGTTTAGCAGCAGCTCAGAAATTGTTTCTGAAGATGCTTAGGAGTGTATTCCGAGCACCAATGTCTTTTTTTGACTCTACTCCAGCTGGACGGATCTTGAATCGTGTAAGTTCATCTTTTTTTGCTGGAAATATATATCCTATACATGTTCTCCACCCATATATGGTAGACGACCATTTTCTTTTTCTTTGCTTCCTTTGTCTCTCTTTTGTGTCTTTCACTTTGCTTTGTGCTGATCATTTACAATCTTACAGGTGTCAATTGATCAAAGTGTAGTGGATCTTGATATTCCTTTCAGGCTTGGTGGATTTGCTTCAACTACCATACAGCTTTTTGGGATTGTTGGTGTAATGACCAAAGTCACCTGGCAAGTTTTGCTGCTTGTTGTTCCAATGGCTGTTGCTTGCTTCTGGATGCAGGTGATTAATTATCCTTTTCCCTGAGTTAACAATGGCATTGCTGGTTGCTAGACAAGATTAGGGAAATGAACAGATATTGCTTTGTAATTATGCAAACTGATTCTAGAGACCACTGATATGTGATGTGTGGTCATGAACGAAATTGGACATCATGTTGCTTCAAATATAAGCTGCAGAGGTCTAATATCTCGTTCACACTAGGCAGTCACAAGAGTCTCATTTTGAGTAAAGCATAAAATCCACAAGGTGTATGTTGGGAGTTAATCGTCAATCTTTTTCTTGACTTCCATTTCAGTAACAATCCTTTGTTCCTTCAAGGTTCACTCAATGTAGTCTTTTACGTCTTTAAACATTATATTACCCTTTTTGCAACTAAAGTCAATACACATTGCCGCTGTACCCATCGTATAAATTGATATCTGTATGGTTTCAGAAACTGATTTTTTTTTGGTTTGATGATTCAAATGCTTGAAACCTATTCATTTCTCTCCCAGTACCTTGAGCTGTTCCAATCATCACCGATGAAATTTAATTTCCACTAAATAATTAGAAAAGATTTGAGGTTGTTGATGATGAACATAAATCCTATAGCATTTTGACTTTAACTACCCATTTAAGAATTCATATTCTGTTAAATCTATTGTATCAATGGTATTGAAGGATAAATTGCCTTATTATTAGTATCCATGATTGCAGAAATACTACATGGCTTCATCAAGGGAACTGGTCCGTATTGTTAGCATCCAGAAATCTCCAATCATCCATCTTTTTGGTGAGACAATTGCAGGAGCAGCCACAATAAGGGGCTTTGGGCAAGAGAAAAGGTTCATGAAGAGGAATCTGTATCTTCTTGATTGTTTTGCTCGTCCATTCTTTTGCAGTCTTGCTGCTATTGAGTGGCTCTGCCTACGCATGGAATTGCTTTCAACCTTTGTATTTGCTTTCTGCATGGTTTTACTTGTTAGCTTTCCCCAGGGAAGTATTGATCCAAGTAAGGATGTTACTGTGCATTACTTGATCTATCTGATAATATGTAACATTTGGAATTTGTGAATTTATGGTTCTTCTATTTACATTTGCTTGTTTTTTACAGGCATGGCGGGGCTTGCTGTGACATATGGCCTTAATTTAAATGCACGCTTATCACGGTGGATACTTAGCTTTTGCAAGCTTGAAAATAAAATTATTTCCATTGAAAGGATCTATCAGTATAGCCAACTTCCTGGTGAAGCCCCACCAGTTATAGAGGATTCTCGCCCTCCATCCTCATGGCCAGAGAATGGAACAATTGATCTGATCGATTTAAAGGTATTTTGTTATGTTATTCCAGTAATGCATGTGCATTGTCATTGTCTTTTAATTGCTCAATATTATTTCGAGTCAGATTTCTTAATCTGTTATATGTTCTATTATTTGCAAAGCATTTCCTAAAGGAGAATCATAATCCCTTTTTTCTGGAATTGATTTCCCTTATCCTTTGGCCATAATCATTTTGATTTGAGTCTGTTATTAACAATCAGCAATGTTTTTATTTCTGAAGGTTCGTTATGGTGAGAATCTTCCTATGGTGCTTCATGGGATATCCTGTACTTTTCCTGGTGGGAACAAAATTGGAATTGTGGGACGAACTGGAAGTGGTAAATCTACACTGATACAAGCATTATTTCGGTTAATTGAACCAGCTAGTGGGAGGATCATTATAGACAACATTGATATTTCTTCAATTGGCCTCCATGATCTTCGTAGCCGCCTGAGTATCATACCCCAGGATCCTACTTTATTCGAAGGGACCATTAGGGGAAACCTTGATCCCCTTGAAGAACATTCAGATCAGGAAATTTGGCAGGTCTTTCTCTTCTTCCTGAACAATCTCTAAGAATTTAAAAAAATATCGGCGGTGCCTGAATTATTAAAATTATAACTGATCTTGAAATGTCTAAGAATTCTGAGAAATCTGTGCGTGATATTGTTATTATTATAAATTTATTTATTTTGTTCTGGAATTTAGATTCAAGAGTATTTTTTTTCTTTCCAAATTGCAATTCTATTTTTTTTACACAATCCCCAAAGCATGTACTGAATGATCCAATTTAAATCACGGTAGATTAGATGACTTTTATTTCCAGCCTTTAACAATATGTTGCCTTGTATGCCAAAACATAAACTGCATTGAATCTTAAAATTACTTGTATGCATTTATGATGATGTGCCCCAATTAACAGTTTGAATATGTGGCACAGGCTCTCGATAAGTCTCAACTAGGACAGATAGTCCGACAGAAAGAGCTAAAGCTTGACTCACTAGGTATGTAACAACAAATTGTTAATGTAATAGTACTGTCAGTTTTATTGATGCATTCATATAAATGATTGATTGTAATTGAGTGCATAATCTGCAGTTGTGGAAAATGGAGATAACTGGAGTGTGGGACAGCGGCAACTTGTTGCCCTGGGTCGTGCTTTGCTTAAGCAGGCAAGAATTCTGGTGCTTGATGAAGCGACAGCATCTGTTGATACAGCTACTGATAATCTCATTCAAAAGATTATCCGGACAGAGTTTAAGAATTGCACGGTGTGCACAATTGCACATCGCATCCCAACTGTCATTGACAGTGACCTTGTTTTGGTTCTCAGTGATGGTGCGTGCATATATATATAATCCCTATTGCCCCTCTTAGTGAACTCTTACAACTGTCGGGGACTGCTGTGGTAGTCACATTATTAAGCAATTTTTTGAGACGGGTATCCCATGTGTATAATGAGCCACTACAAAATGCTCATGAACCATGTTCTTTTGTGCAGGTCTAGTTGCAGAGTTTGATACTCCAACACGGCTGTTAGAGGATAAATCATCCATGTTTCTAAAGCTGGTAACAGAGTATTCTTCAAGGTCAAGTGGCATACCGGAATTTTGAACTGGATGGCATGCCCAAAACCTCCAGGTGAGAGTCAGCAAGAGCAGGCCAAGGGTTCCAAAATAAAGTGGCTGGTGCTGCTTTCCTTGCAGCTGTTGCATTCAGCAAACTGGAAGACAAATGGGAAGGCTGAAGTCACAGGTGTAGGTGCTTGCACCAAGTCCCTTTAGGAATAAGTAATTTATCATGGCAAGGCAATTCACTACCCTCGAGCATGCATCGCTATCATATTTTGTAACAGAGAATTAAGTTTATTAGTTGGGAAGGGGCAATTGAAAGTTGGCAATAATTACAAGAGAGAAAGAGAACAAATAAGAGGGAACAGTTGTATTTGTTCAATGATGTCCATAAGTAGGGTTTGTATTTCAAAATCATTAGAGCTGAACTAGTCACATGCCAATCCCCACTCATTCCACCCTGATCCAGTGTTGTTGGGGTAGTAGAGAAACTCTTTGATGCTAAGAAATTTTGTCCGCCAGTTTCTCCTTGAATCCTCCTTTTGCTGCTTCCCCCTTTGTTTTTATTCATGTATTTAATCTTCCATTAGTATCTACTTTGGTGTTTGGAGAGAGAAATAATGGTACAGAAGGGACATATCTTTTTTCTTCTTCCTGTCTTGGTATGCTTTTTATGCTATGAAATGGAGATTCAGCTTGTGTTCTAAAAGCTTTTGAAAATAAATGTTATCTTTTTATTTTTTTATTTAAATTAATAATTTTTTATATTTTTTAATTATACTATGCCAAAAATAATTTTTTTAAAATAAAAAATATTATTTTAATATTAAAACATCATTAAAAAAATATATAAAATATTAATTTTAAATAAAAATTTAATTTTTTAAAAAATATAGATTCATCTCTTTTCATACACAACCTTTTAAACCTGAGATGGCAGAATGGAATGGAACCTGACATGGCTAAGGCTATTTTAATTTCATAATAATTGAGGTAATTACAAATAGCCAAGTATAATTTTTAAAATAAAAATAAAAGTAAAATTTATCTTAAATGAAAAAAAGGGATTATTTATTTTAGTTAAAAGTCAATTTTAAACCATTACAAAAATTAATAAACATTGATATCTCATAAAGAATTTTATTTCTTGGTTTAAAATCTTGAGATTGAAATCTAAATACATTTATTAAATTCTTATGAATGCACCATGTTAATGTATTAAGATGTGTGTTTTTAAGATTGTTCAGACAAGATTTAGTCTCATAATATATTTTATCTTAAATGTGTGTATGATTACGTGGTTAAGAATGTTTTTTTATATGAAAAAGGTATTTATCTAATACTTTTTTTAAGTGATTTTTAATAATTTTAATATTAAAACTATATTAAAAAAAAAACATCGGTGCTTTTTAGGAAAAAAATAAAAAACATCGAATCCCGATGTAGCCAGGTCATAAACATATGGGCCTACTTTTGTTAACCCAGCCCGTATAATTTGGGCCGGATCGCAACATAAGAAATCCAAATCCAAATCTTTCACATCTGAGTTCTGACGAGTGACGACATCTCTCTCAAATCTCTCTCTCTATCTCTCTAGTGCCGAACGCTCACTCTCAAGTCTCTCTCTCTAACCAAGAAGGATGCAAGCCGTATCGAGGCGATTAGGGCACCAATCGCTGAAGCCAGCTGCTTCACTATCTTCTTTCAAGTCAATCTACCCGCTCTCCGATCACCGTAATCCTCCACATTCTCAGGTTTTTATAAACATTTACGATGCGCTAATTCTCAATTTCCTTATTTTTTTAGTCATTAATCTTCAGATTATGGAGCTGATCATCCACGACACGCTTCCTCTCTCCCGGCCAAAGGTGTAGGCCACCTTATTCGCAAGGGAACCGGTGGCAGATCCTCTGTCAGGTCTCCCTTTCCTTTTTTTTACAATTGAAATGATAAAGAAGGATGTTTTCTTGCTTATTATGATTGAGTAATTGTGTCTTAATGAATAGGTTTAATTAATTTTGTTTTGATGTTTAGGGTTAATTAATTGTGTTTTAATGCTTGTTTTTTTTTTTTTTTTGTGTGTGCAGTGGAATTGTTGCTACGGTTTTTGGAGCAACGGGGTTCCTGGGTCGATATGTTGTGCAACAACTTGGTGAGTTGAATGGGAAGTACAGTGCTGAGGTTCTCTTATGGCGTTAACTTAACTACTAATATGATAATTTTTATCCAAAATGTGTTCTTTTTTGTTTTTTTACCTTGATTCAAGTCTTGCGTTTCAGCAGTATTAGTTTGTTATCGTTCTCTTGAAGCGTGTTTGTTGGTCAGTAATTCTTAATGCTTGCTTGATTGTACTACAGCAAAAATGGGTTCTCAAGTGTTAGTTCCTTTTAGAGGTTCTGAGGATAGTCATCGCCACCTCAAGTTGATGGGTGATTTGGGTCAGGTAGAGTGGTGAATTAATATAGAGTTTTTCATTATGTAAACTGTCTGGCTGAAGCACGCTTTTTTATTGTTGCATATTTCAGGATATTTTGTCATGTTAATTTTCCTGATAATGTTGGTATCTTGTCATTTGACTTGCTCAGATAGTACCAATGAAATACAACCCAAGAGATGAGAATTCTATCAAGGCTGTAATGGCGAAGGCCAATGTTGTTATTAATCTTATTGGTAAGTGCTTCACTTGTAATATCTTTGAGCCTTCTAGTGCTTAGAGTTTGCAAATCTGCTCGCTCAGTTTTGCATTATTATTCACAGGAAGGGATCATGAGACAAGAAACTACAGTTTTGAGGAATTGAACCATGGCATGACTGAGCAACTTGCAATGGTATATTTGTCTCTTCTTCTTAAATCATGATAGCACTGTTGGATTATGATATTGTGGATGTTCTGATTTTCCTAGATGTGTATTTTGAGGAAGCACTGTATGTCCTATGTTGTCTTATTATCTTAGTCTCTGTCATTTGTAACCCAGTTCTCTAAGAAATTCATTCAGAAGTTTCCTTTTGCTTTCCACTTATTTACTGCATTATCTTTCTTGACTTATGCAGATTTCTAAAGAACATGGAGGTATCATGAGATTTATTCAAGTTTCTTGCTTAGGAGCATCTGCATCATCCCCGTCAAGAATGCTAAGAGCTAAGGCTGCTGGAGAGGAAGCTGTTTTGAGGGAAATGCCTGAGGTGAATATTTAGTCTTGGTTTTACCATGGCCTATGCTAATGATGCATCTTTTGGGCGTTATTAAGTGATCATATCATGGGAGCTAAGCTTCAACCCTACAACGATCTTGATGCATACATGGTTTATGTGCACAGGAGTTGTTATCACCCATAGTCCTTTTATGTGCTTTGTGTTTCTTCATGTTAAATAGAGGCTGTGAATTTGGTTTTGAAGAAGATGGGGATTTTGGAGATGTCATTTAGCTGTAAGCCCTATGGTGGATCCAAACTCCAAAACCAAAATTTCATCATACATTTAAGTATCCTCACCATTCCTTTGGAGTGGAGCATTTTGCTTCTACTTTTAGTGGAAAGCGTTTGTTACCTTGATCCAACAAAAGCATGCATTCCCCTCTATTCTATCCAATTTCCAATGAAAATATTTTTGTTATTTTGGAGGGGAAGCTCCTTTCCCTTTTATCATTCTTGCCAAAAGAAGAAAGATGCCTGTTCTCTTCCCATTCCTTTCACCTCTTTATCTTCTCTTCCAATTACCTCCATTTTGCATGCACTTGTGTTTTAATGTGTTTTTTGTTGATTCAAAGCACAAGTGACAAGGGTTTATTGCTTATGTTGTGTTTTGTTTGCTTGCATGTGGCACCTGTTTCATTCATGTTTTGATTGTTTGATGCTTTTATATTTTCTTGAGCTGATTGCAATCACAGACATTAATATTTGGAGATCAAATTTTCTTTATTGCACACAATACTTGTGTGTGCTTGTGAACGCCATGCGGGATTAGAGAAGTATTTTGGGTGTGAGAATTGATAACCTCTTAATCTGATTTGAATTGGTACAACCCCTTTTATTTTGGATAACTTCAACTATGTACCCTGTGATGTAAGGTACTATAAGAATGTCATGTATTTTTCTGGGGACCGCATTTATTTTTACAGATATTTCTAAAGTTACCTTAACAGGAACTGCCCTAATGCAAATACATAGATGTCCTCCTTTGGTTAACTTGTCTATTGTGGTATCCAAAACATATTGGAGAGGGGAAGGGAAAGAAATTAGTTGGGCAACCATGTTTGTAAGGTGCAAATCTAAGTTGATTTTAAGACCATGCAAGAAACTGCTCCACCTTCAAGCATTTCCCCCCTAGGACCTCCCTAATGCAAATACATAGATGTCCTCCTTAGGTTAACTTTTCCACTGTGGTATCCAAAACATATTGGAGAGGGGAAGGGAAAAAAATTTGTTGGACAACCATTTTGTAAGGTGCAAATCGAAGCTGATTTAAGACCATGCAAGAAACTGCTCCACCTTCTATAATTTCCCCCCTCTTGGTTGTAAGCATGCTGTTTTTTTGAAAGTTAAGTTTTTGCATACATTGACTTGTTACAGGCAACAGTCATGAAACCTGCTGTGATGATTGGTACAGAGGATCGGATCTTGAACCGGTGGGCCCACTTTGCAAAAAAATATTCGTTTCTTCCACTCATTGGAGATGGATCTACCAAGTATGTCAATAATGTTTGAATTAAGCATGAAAAAAAACAACCTTTCTGAACTTTGTGTCTCTATTCCTAACAGGGTCTTGTTTGCAGAATCCAACCTGTATATGTTGTTGATGTTGCTGCTGCAATTATTGCAGCCTTGAAAGATGATGGAAGCAGCATGGGGAAAGTATACGAGCTTGGTGGGCCAGAAATCTTTACCGTGCATGAATTGGTAACCTCTTTCTCCCATTTTGTTAATTTTCATATTGTGATGCTCGAAATGCTGAAGTCTTCTGTGCAATGCAGGCAGACCTTATGTATGATGTGATTCGTGAATGGCCTCGATATGTGAAAGTTCCTTTTCCCATTGCCAAGGTAAATATGTGAGCTTTTGTTTGCTGGTAGTTATTTTTACTCCAAAGAAGAAAGTGCTTTTATTACTGCTCTGAACTACCCATTAGGCTCTAGGTCATTTGAAATTGAGTATCTGATTCGCCTGCACTGAGGAGATGATACTGCTCGAGTTTGATATGATTGATCTGAAATTCACTTGTACTGAAGATACAAAAATGCTTGTCTTGGAACAAACAGACTTCTTCTCATATTCAGCAGATATCACTATTACGAGGAGTGTGCATGCACATGCTCACACTTCCTGATACCCAGCAGATATCTTCTATTATGCACAATGCCAAATAAACATACCTTGGGCGTGCTTTCACCAATATGTTTGTGGCGATGCATCCTCTTGCCTATCTTTTCTAGATGGAAATTTTGAACTTCTTGTTAGTTGACATCTTAATTTCATTTAATTGCACCTGCATATTGAATGTTTGCAGGCACTTGCAACACCACGAGCAGTATTAATTAATAAGGTTCCATTTCCATTACCCACTCCAAACATCTTCAACCTGGATGAGATCAATGCCCTTACTATCAATTCAGTTGTGTCAGAAAATGGTTAGTTCAGTAAGTTGAGGTTGCCCTTTTTGCTGCGTTGTTTCATTCTTTTTCTCACTTTTGTGTTCCTTGGCTTTGGGTCTGGCTTGCAGCTTTAACATTCAGTGATCTTGGGATTGTACCGCATAAGCTGAAGGGATACCCTATTGAGTTTCTCATCTCATATCGGAAGGGTGGCCCCCAATTTGGTTCTACAATCAGTGAAAGGGTTTCCCCTGATTCTTTCCCATAAGATTCTTTGATCTTTCATTTTGAAATGTTTATGGTCCATCACCTATTTGGAAACTTGGAACACATATTTCACCATCGGTTTCTTGAGGGAACTAAGACATGGACGAAATGACATTGTTTTCATGGTGAAAGAAACATTCATCTGAATAAACCATGTTTTACTTGGGATATTGCAGTTTTATCGCTTATAAAGTTTATATGAAGTTCATAATAAGTTCATGGCCTCAGCATCAAAAGTTTCTAAGGAGTGTCCAGTTTCCTGATTGTTTGTGTAGTTTGGAATAACCTGAATTTAGGAATAACCTGAATTGTAGATGCCCAGCAGTAGCTTCAGGGTTGTATGATTGCCTGACATTCCATTGTCATTTTTGCAACTCTTAGAAAACAAAGAAGTTGGATGGTTTATGGAGAATTTTTTATTATGCTTTGAAACTAAAATTGTATGTTTACTGTATATTGAGGTCTATTTTGGTGCCTTGGATGCTAGCACATAACAAGTTTGTGTGTGTTAGATGGAATATTAACTTTTATTAATAATGAATGGTTTAGGGTTAAATTGATAAAATCAAAAGATTTGAGACTCGATTGATAATGCTGGAGGTTAAATCCCTTCTTTTCCTTCAAAAGGATTAAATTGTGAATTTTACAAAATATGAGAATAAAAAGCATGAAAATGAGAACCAGTTTGTAAATAAAAATAAATTATACGTATATATATATATAACAATTACTACATCCTTTTCAAGTATAATGTTTTTCTTCTATGTTCTCATAATATTAAGTTTGAAACTTATTGAAATTTATTATTATCAGAACATAGAAGAAACCATGTAGCAGTTATAAGCACAGCATCATTTGAAGTCTACAATTAAACCAGCGAAAGGGTTTCCCCTAATTCTTTCCCATAAGATTCTTTGATCTTTCCTTTTAAAATGTTCATCATGTTCCGTCATTTATTTGGAAACTCGGAGCACACGTGACGCCATCGATTCCTCCTCGAGGTAACTCAGGCATTGTCCGGGACCACGGGATTGACAGCGGTACAATCCCGTTCCCAGAAAATTAGAAGCGGCGAAAAACATGCTTTTGCTGTGTTTTTTTTAAATTTATTTTTGGAAACGCACGCTTTTCCAAACAGACAGGGTGAAATGAGTGTTTTTTTTAAAAAGAATATTAGGATATAAAATAAGTAAACCTTGAATCGGAACGAAGAGTAAGAACCACCGAAAATTATTCTTGTTATCCACTGAGACCATGAAGGCCCGGCCCACTATTACCACAGCATCTAGTCTAGTCTACTCGAGTCTAGGACCCGTTTTCTCATTTTATCTCTTTGAACTTTTCTACTTGATAGGCTTCCAACGGCAACATTTACCCTACAAGGCCCGCAACATCTCCCTTCTCCTTGCAGCAGTAATCCTAACGGTAACTTATTACTCTCTCTCTCTCTCTCTCTCTCTCTCTCTCTCTCTCTCTCTCTCTCTCTCTCTCTCTCTCTCTCTCTCTCTCTCTCTGTGTTTCCGTATGTCCATCGGTCACTTTATTGTCTCTTTAAGTTGTTAATAGTCTTGCGGTTTAGTATTTCGCTTTGTTTTACATTATTTGGGAAAATTTGTTTTCTCTTTCCAGAATTGTTGTTTTCTTTAATCCTAATTGTTATGTGTAAAAGTGATTGAAAGCTCATATGGGCTGTTCTTGTTGTTGATTTTGAGTCGAGATTGCAAATTTTTAGTGACAAATGATTATAATTGGTGTCATAAATTGATTTTTGTTTCTGGGGGTATTCTTTGTTAAAATTTCTATATGCAGAGAAGAAAGGGAGGAGGAGGAATCGGTGGAGATCAGGAGATGGATTACAGTCTAGCAGCGCTTAAGCTACTGCGTGTCCATTGAAAGACAGCAGTGAGACTCCTTCTCAAAACGCCTTTACTCCTTCTCAAAACGCCTTTACTCCTTCTCAAAACGCCTTGACTCTCGGCGGCATTCTCTTTCAAAGCACCTGGTTACAGGCTCCTCCTCTTCTCTCGTTACCGGTTCTCCATTTTACCCATCCTCCATGTAATTCCTTTCTGTTGTTGTTCTCCAGGGAATTTTGGTCTCCAACGACGGTGACGGCCGTCTTCTTCTCGATGACGGCGCTGGTGTGATCGAGCTTCGCCTTTCTGGCGACTTCCGTCTCCGTCACCGGGACTTAGGTACCCCTTTTCCTTTCTTATTTATTTTTTCTTTTGGCACATTTTAGCATATATAGACCGCTCTGTTGTTCTTGGGTGTATTTTTGAAGTGTACAGGGATGTATGTGATGGTAGTTGGAGGGTACTTTGTCCGTCCTGGTGAGACTCTTGTGATTAAGATAAATTTACGAATTGATCCCCCGAGTTTTTTTATTTAATAGCTTTTCAAATTGCTTTTTATTTGAAAAAAACATTAAATTGATTGATGTATACTTGCGAACAATTTGTTTTTATACATAGTTTGATAAAATTAACTAATTGATCCCTCAAATTTCAATCAAATACTTGCAAAGAATTCATTTTGAACAGAATTTCATCGTGTGGATGATAACAGTTTATTTTCTAATTTAGGTTCGGAGGATGGTTGATCTTTCAGCATTGCCGGATGAGAAGCAATGTGGTATCTTGAAGTTATGGAGTCGTACAAGCTTTTCTACCAGCCTTTAATTCAAGAACTTATGTGATTGCTTAGATTGTTTGCTTGCTCAGAGAAAGGAACTGCAGTTTTAGAACTGCAAAATTTTTGCAGATGTATTTATGTTCATATTCTTGAAATATTCTGCAAATCTGAGTAATGGTTTCTGTGCCTGTGCTAACAATTTCTTCATGCTGTCATAAACAACCATGAAAATTGGGGAAACTATAGTTTTGAGGAATTGAACCATGACACGGCCGAACAATTCGCCATGTTATATTTTTCTCTTCTCGTTAAACCATGATATTACTGTTGGATTATTATATTGTGGGTATTCTGATTTTCCTGGATGTGTACTTTGGGGAAGCAAAGTATGTCCTATGTTATCTTAGTATTTTAGGTCTCTGTCATTTGTGACCCTGTTCTCTGAGAAATTCATTCAGTTCCACAGATTTACTGCATTATCTTTCTCGACTTCTGCAGATTTCTAGAGAACATGGAGGCATCATTTATTCGAGATTCTTGCTTAGGAGCATCTGCATCATCTCCATTAAGAGTGCTAAAAGCTAAGGCTGCTGGAGAGGAAGCTGTTTTGAGAGAAATGCATTGAGGTAAATATTTAGTCTTGGTTTTACTATGGTCCATGCTAATGATGCATTATTTGGGCTTTTTATAGTGATAATATCATGGGAGCCAAGTTTCAACCTTACAGCGATCTAGATGCATACACTGCCTTGTTTATCACCATTTATGTGCTTTGTGTTTCTTAATGTAAAATAGAGGCTGTGAAAATTGGTTTTGAAGAAGAGTGGCTATCTTGAAGCTGTCATTTAGCCTTAATGATGGATCAAAATTCCAAAAGCAAAATTCCATCATACATTTAAGTATATTTTACACCATTCCTCTGGAGTGGAGCATCTCGTTTCTACTTGTTACCTTGATCCAACAAAAGTACGTGTTCCCCTCTATTTTATCCACTTTCCCTTGGAAATATTTTTGTTATTTTGGAGGGGAAGCTCATTTCCCATGGAAATACTTGCGGAACGATGGCTGTTCTCTTCGCAAGAAAAAACTGAAGCAACCAATTTAAAAACCAAAATAACCCTAAATCATTTCCCCCCTTTTCTCCTTTGACAGCAGCTGCTAGCTGCATCTCCTCCTATCATATATCTCTCATTCTCCCTTGAAAGATTACCTTAAATCCATCGATTGTTCCTTTTTGGCAGCAGCTGCACCTCTCCACCCCCCTTCCCTCTGTCATTCTTCCTTTTTGATCGAAGACCCAATCCATCAATTTTAAGGTAATCATCAATTTTATTTTTTAATTTCTCATAATTTGGATTGTAATTAGTAGTTAAGGTTTTTCTTAATTGCTTTTGAAATTTCTTAATTGTTTCATTTACTATATTAATTAGTAACTGTAATATTTTTTCTACTCTCTTGACAGTCGCCGTGAGTTCATGACTCGTTTCTCTCCTCTGTTCTGTTTATTCTCTTGCAAACATGGTATGTTTCTTCTTCTTTTTTTTTAAAAATTTTAACTGATTGCTGATTTTAATTTTGTAATTTAAAAGGCTTTTCAAGTTCAAATTGGGTTTTGATAAAGTATTTTGTTTTGATACCATAAAAAGAAAAGAAAAAACGAAGAAGTATTCATTGACTCAGTGCTACCTATTTTCAGGTTTTATCCATGACAATGAACTAACCTAACTTAATAGATATTAATGCTAGATTGTTTGATTATTTCTTTCTTTGATTAAACTTACTGTTAATATAAAATTTTGGGTTTTGATGATCCATGACAATGAACCAACATAATATTAATAGATATTAATACTATAGATTGTTTGATTATTCTTTTTTTTTTCTTTGGTTAAATTTACTATTAATATAATTTTTTTGGTTTTGATGAAGGATTTCGGTGATTAACATAATGTTAATATATATTAATGCTAGATTCATTTGGGTGGATGTAATTTTTTAGCTTGTAATATACTGTTAATACTTAATTGGTTGCTGTTAATTATTAGTTAATTCATATTATTATTGTTTTTTTTAATATAGATAATTAGAAATATCCTATACTAAAGAAATCATCCATTTTCTAGATCTAATAAAAAAAATCCCAAATTTAGAATCAATTTCAAAAACTTGATAATGATTCTAAAGCTCATAAGGCACGCATATATTGTGAGAAAGACTATGGTTGTTATATTATACTTATTGAGACAAGGTCTATTTGTTTTGTATAAAATATTTTATAGGAAAATATTTTTTAAATTTTTATATGTTTGTTTTGAAAAAATATTTTCTAGAAAATGTTTTTTTAATGTTTTTCTTGTAAAATATTTTATAGATAATCTTTAAACTTACTTTATTTGTTTAAAAATATTTTTAGCTCAAGAAGTTTCATAAAATATTTTAAACAAAACAAACACATTCTTAAAAAAAAAAAGATGATGTGGAAAGAGAAAAATGATGTTGAGATGTATATTTAAGTGATGGTTAAGAGGATATTAATGATTCTAAATTAGATATTTAATACAAGATTTTTTTTTAATATGACACAACAAGTATTAGATATCCTGGTATCTATAATTGTTTTTAAAATAGCCTTTAACACTAGCTATTGTATGTTAGATCCATTTCAAAGCTTTTTATCTCCATCAATAGTGAAATACTTATTTGTTGTTAAAATTAGTTATATTTAGCACCAATTCTTGATATTAAAGCATTCAAGTAATTTGTTTTACAATTTTAAAATTAGTTATTTTACATCATTATTTCTTTACATATGTTTAATTTATGATTTTGTAGAACTTGAAAAGTTTGAAAATCTCTACTTATTGTTATTTTTGGTTATGGTGGTGAAATCCTAGAATATAATTTTTTTAGGTAATTGATTTATTGTATCTTGTTAATTCCCTTTTAATTTTGCTTTTTTAATTTTTTTTTATTAGTTGAACTCTAATATATTATTAATTTACTAGTATTTTTTTATAGTATTAACTTTGCAAGATCTTTGGGCTTTTGTGGTTGATGGATTTTTTAGATGTTGTTTCTGGATTTTATAGTATTTTCCCTATGCTGGAATTTTTTCTTCAGTTTGCCCTAATCTGGATTTATTCATATAAGATTTGCTAATATGCTGCTAACGTATCTGCATATTAAAAATGTTACACAAGGTGACTTTTTTAATTGGACCAAAAGTTTATTTTTGTGCGCACCAAAGTCATAGGAAAGCAAATTTGATCATTTATAGTGGAAAGATTTGGCTGGCTAGGGTGAAAGAAGGTTTTTTTTTATTATTAATTCAATTTCTAATTTAGTAATGAAGTTGGACGTTTTTTTTTTTTTGTTAAAAAACCTAATAAAAAAATATTTAATTAAAAAGTCTACAAAAAACTGAACTCAACAAAAAATTATTAAAACTCAATTTAATACAAGTCTATTTAAAAACGGTATTAGGTTTCTTAGTTTTTAATGTAAAAAAAACTAATTTTATTCTATCTAAACTGATTTAGTTTGAATTATTTTTTGGTTTGGTTTGGTTTGTTGGGTTTTTGGATCTACACCGGGATTATAAACATTCTTTAAAGTGTTTTCATTACAAGTGTCTAAATAAACTATGATATATCATAAATATTTAAGAATAGAAAAAAATCAAGAGACTTCATACGCAGATTGATAATTTTATGCTTATTGCATGTTGAGGTTTATTTTGGTGCTTTGGATGCAAGCAATTAATGAGTATATGTCTAATTTTCATTATGTTTTTAGGGTAACTTTAATAAAACAAAAAACGAGGTGATATGCTAGGGGTTAAATTGATATTTCCCAGCATAAGGATTAAATTGTAAATTTTATAAAATAAAGGAATATTTGTAAATAAAAAAATATGGATTAAAATAAATATTAAAAAATTATAAGAAATAAAATAAAAATTTATAATGTCTCCATTAGATTATTAAAAGATTTGCTACCAAACAAACGAATATAATGAAGAATTCCATTCCTTTCACGTAATACAAAATATAATGTACGTGTGTTACACATTTGAGATTATTTTCCCATTTTCAGAAGCAAGGTATCCCTTCTTTTTTTTTCAAATCGATTGGGCAACTGAATTCAGAAAGGTTTCGTTTTGTCTAATGCTATATGGCTTAGCAATGTTGCTCTCGCTAGAATGAATTATTAAATCTAATCTAGCAAGTTGATCAAAGACTTGACTAACCTATTATTTAGCTTGATTTGAAAAGTTAATTTGAAATTTAGTTAATTTAGGGCATTCTTGGCCTAGCTTTTAAAAAATTTTGAGGGCGGATTGAACTAACGGATCAATTTATGACTTAGTTGGCTTAAAAGAATTAAAATAAAATTATTTAATTATTCAGATTAAATCGAATTAATTTAGCTAACTCGCGACTCATCTTGAACTAAGACATGTGCTATAGAGTCTTACTCTAGGGTTATGGTCTCTGTTTATTTTTATAAGATGGTAATTCTATTTGTTATGTAACACACTTCAATTGAAGCATGGGAATGTTGAAGAATATGTGCAAATTTCCCAATTTCCAAAGGCTTAAACAACACAAGAAGCACTGGATTGTGACTCAAGTCATTCCATGAGAACATTACCTTTCCTTGTAGCATCAGAAAAGTGAAAATATACCACCGAAAACAATGCAAGTAAAGAGGATCAACCCGCGATGAGCTTTCCTCTCTTCATTCGATAAGAGCTTCGTTGCTGTGACCAACCTGTGATCAAAATCTCATGGCCCCAGAAAGCAGCCATGGCTCGTTTGATCGAGTTAACTTGAAAGGAAGAAATGTTGGGGCTACAATGTTCATCCGTCATGGTGTCCATGATGAGCCACAAGATAGTTATTCCATCAACATTTTCGTAAACAACAATGTTCAAGGGGTTAACAATTCTATTCTGCTTGGAAGTGAGGTGAGCATGAGAGATCCGGGAGTTAGCATATTTTTGGAAGATATGAAGCTGAAATCAAAGAAAAAAAGAAGAAATGCAGATGATGCATCAGGTTCTTCTAAGCTCGGGTCTCTTGGGATGGCTATGTTAGCAGCAGCATTTATCTTGTTCTTGTTGTTTTTATTTTCATAGATCTTGTTGTATTGATGAGTATCTAGAAACGTTGTTTATGCAGACAAAATATGTTTTTAATTATAATTCACAACAATATATATATATGGGTGACATGCATTTATCTATCATAAAGATTTCTGAGTTTTTGATATGTTCTAACCAATTTATTTGGTTATGTTTTAGTTTCTCTCACATTTCACTATTCATGTCACTGTTTATATAGCTAATTCTTTTATTTTTGGTCTCTAATATTTCTTCTTCCTTGCAATTTGGTCATCACATGTATTATCTCTTCATTTACACCCTTCCAGGTTATGTTCCCATGATTTTAGATTGTCAAGATTTTTATACATAAACTTTAGCATTTGGATCAATATGCGTCTTTCATAAATATCAAATTTATTACCACTCTCATTTAAATATAACAAAAACAATATAAATGGAAACAATTATATCAACCAGCAAAATATTTTAGCAAAATCCATTATATCGATTAGCATAATATTTTGACAAAATTACCATGAAAAATATTAATATAGTGAAACATTTGCTTATTTATAAATAATCATACTATTAGAGTCAAAACATTCTAAGCATTACAAGAAGATCGCTAAATAATACAATTAAAAACAAGTTCATATAAAGTTATGAAGAAAATATGCGAGTTGATGGATAAAAACAATAAACCTGGAAAATCCCAAAAATAGATCTAAAAAAATTCTCTAAAAAAAATTCAAAAAACACTTGAGAAATATGGGTTCAAATAAGAAGCTCGAGCCTGCACACTAGGAATATGGGCTCAAGCAAGTAGCCAAAGCCCATGCTCCTTACATGGGCGCATGGGTGCCTAATTTATAGGCATTATACAGTGCACTTAGTGTCCACCCAATAACCTCATAGGCTCGAGATGTTATGCTAGAGCCTAATGTGTTTTGATCTATACAGCATATCTAGATCAACTTTCATCTCTTGTAAGCTTAGGCCGTCACACCTAAGCCCAACGTATTTGAGTCCGAGCAACATGTCTGGATCCACTTTTGCCTTTCATAGGCCTTACCCTAAAACTCGCTAGAGAATTTTTTTCAAACCCCACACAAATCCCTTGATAATTTATACTAATTCAATATGTTTTATTTTAAATAAAATATAACTTAAAATATTGTAAGAATAAAGTTACAGTTCATCCCCTCCTCTCCATAAGAGTACAAGATCTGTGAGTTAAAATATGCCATAAATCCTTCAAGTCAAAAGTTCACAATCTTTATTCTCTATTACATAAATGTTTTCAGAGCTTATCTCTCTAAAATATCATTGCATTTTCTCTCTTTATAAAATTACTAACTTTACCATCAAAGAATCCTCACATCTATTAAAAAGAAATCTTTAATCAGGAATCTTTAATCATTTAACTTACCAAGTACTACCTACAACTACAATAATTACTGGTAACTTGATTTATCAAGCATCACTTACTTTATTTTTCATATCAAGTTAGTAAATACTTTGACTTTAAAGAATGGATCGAATTACTTAAATTATAAGATCAATCAATTATCTAATATATCAACTTTATTTTTAAATGGATTTTGAAAATTATAATGAGTAAACAACTTATTTATATATTTATAATGCCTTTAACTTTGATAATAGCTATAATTTTATTATGAAATTAGAAGATGGTAAAATTAGATAATTGGATACTTTACTATTAATAAGTTCATTAAAAAACTGAAAATAAATAGAACATGATAATCGATCATCCTTTTTAATGACCGGTTATCAGCATCCATATTACCATTGAATTTACTTTCTCAATTTTTGATTAGTCTGCTGGTTTAGTCGGTTAACATTCTTTATATTCAGCAACTCTTTAACCAACCTTTCTCTTTGTATGGTATGATTATAAAACTTAATTCATACCCTCCAAGTCAACTATATTCCACAAAACCTCACCTCAAGCCTACTAAATTTCATTAATTAATTATTACAATAATAATGAACATTATTATGTAGCATTCAACATCTTAACTTTCAAAAAGGTCGGCATGATTGTGATGGATGTTTTTTTTTTTTCTTGAGCTTGAATCTTAAGGTCAATATGTAGAAGAATTTATCCTTTTAAATAGACGGAATCAATGCCAAAATATAGATTTAAAATTATTAAAGGAAAAAACCTAATCTCAATCAACATTTAAATTGATGCATGAATATCCATGAATCAAGTAAAAAAAAAAGAAGAAGCAACATCTTAATTAAATATATAGTATTTTCTTCTGAAATTCTTCTAATACTTATGTAAAATTAGGCTATATATATATAGCTGAATAGTGTTAGAAATAACCATTATTTGACGCTAAACTGCAGCAAAACCTCGGCCACAAACAAGCCAAGGTTCTGTAATAATGCATGGTCAACATGGGAGTTGCCAATATGGTCGTGTGGTGATGAACATGTTAGTGGTTGCCCACCATTGCCTTCGAAGGCGTCAACATTAACTGGATGGTGCTCAACCTCCTGGCATAACCCTCCCCACTTGTACGGTGGTTACAACTTAATTATAAGCAATATTTTTAACTCCATTCGACCATGGAGCCCTAATTTATTGTAGGAGACATTACCACATATGTGTGTCTTCACACATTCTAGATATTTGACCCATGTATCATAATAGTTTTTTTTTAAAAAATCTAGTTATATAGACTATTTTAATATTATTTGTTTACATCAAAATTCAAAATACACAGCAAAAAGTTTACTCAAACATTTAATGAAATAAATCAATAATTAATAATAGAAATAAACAAAAAAAAAGTTATTAACAGCAATTAAAAAAATAAAAAATAGATGTAGATCAAGATATTTAATCTCACAAAATGAGATATTTATCTGTTTGTACCAACCAAATTTGATAATTAAAATCAATAAAAAATAATAAAAATAAAAACATATATGAAATTAAGTGAATAAAATAAAAGAAAAAAACTATGCAAAGTCGGCCATATCAGAAATATTATTTCAAAATAATTATTTTTTATAAAATAAAGCTCATTAGCATAAAATAAAATAAAAGAACTTGAAAATTAAATACAAAATAATATATTTTTTTAAACTTTATTAATAAAATACCAGGATAAACCGATAGAAAAAAATTTGAATATAACCACAAAATCAATATTTTTTGAAAAAAATAATGCAAAATCATAACCGCAAATGAGAAAATAAAAGGAATCTCTAACTATATTAACTCTTAAAACTCATGACTTGTATTATTAGATTGGAAGCACAACAAATAGAAAAACCACAAAACCCAATTCCCAACAAATCAAACGATGAAGGTTGAAACCAGGAAAAAAAATTATAATTAAGAAAATAAGGGAATCAAAAGTCTAAGAATCAAAATAAAAAATAAATTAGAGGGCATAAAAAAATTAACATTAGATTCTTAAATCAAAAAGGCAAAAAACTTTAAAGTAAAGAAATATAAATCAAAAGAATAAAGACTAAATTAAAAAATAAAATAATACAAACTTTAATTGAATGATAAAATCAAAAACAACAAAACTTTAAAAAAAGAGTTAAAAAAAAAAATCAGAAATCAAAAGAATAAAAACCGAATTAGAAATAATAATTCATGATAAATTATAATTTAATAATAAAATTGAAAACATCGAAAACTTTTTCAAAAGAGCTCAGGACTAAAATAAAGAATAAAAAATCTAAGAACTAAAATTTATAAAAAAAAAATAAATAGGAGAGGTGTGCACTTTTTATTAGAGAGAAAAGGAGAAAAGCATGAAGGGAAAAAAAACAACCATCGATCATTATTATTTATCACAGCATAAAAAAAGGTCAAAACAATGCTTGACATGACGAAACAACATATTTAATCATGAAAATAAATTATATACACCATTATAAAATCATAAATACATCTCACACGCTAACTGTTTTTTTTATTTAAAAAACTAATAATCAATGTGCAAAATCTAAAGCAGCCTCCTGATCTTGACATTCATGTAAAAACCAATGAAAAAATAAAATTTTCTCTGGACCCTTTCCATATTTTCCCTCAAATGTAAGGATAGAAAGTTCCTTTCATGATCTTGCAAAAATGCAGAGGCATAAACAACCTTCTTGCCCATCAGTTCATTTTCTTTATCTTGGGGCAAATAAATAATTATACTGTTTTGAGACAATTGAAAAGACAAAAGTAATCCCCAGGAATCCTTTAATGATTAATCAATGTTCTTGAAAAGATAAAATTACCCTCCCCAACCAAAATTCTTTTCCAGTGACAAAATCATTGTAATTTTATCTTTTCAAAAACATTATTTTATATATATATATATATATATTAATGATTAATCAATGTTCTTGAAAAGATAAAATTACCCTCCCCAACCAAAATTCTTTTCCAGTGACAAAATCATTGTAATTTTATCTTTTCAAAAACATTATTATATATATATAAACTACTCTTCAAGTTTCTAAGGCCTCCAATTAATACATGCATGGAACCTTGATGTAAGATGGTGACAAGACACTACAAGTGTTTGAGAGTACGAAAACATAGTTTATTCGATGGATTTTTCTTTCCGAATCCTATACCAAGGCCGGCTTTTTGCTATTACTAAAAACATTTAATTAA